CAAGGAACCAGAAGTTGGATCCCCTGGAGCTGGAATTACAGGTGTTCATGAGCCAGCCACCTGATGTGGGTTCTGGGAATTGAATTCAGGTCCTTTGGAAGAGCAAGAAGCATTTGTAACCACTGGGCCATCTCTCTAGTCTCTATTGTTTGTTTTGTGGGATGGGCTCTTATGTGGACCAGGTTGACCTTGAAGTAGAAATGCAGCTGAGAAAGTCCTTGGATCCTCCTGCCTCCACGTGCCAAGTGCTGGGGTTGCAAGTTGGTGCTTGGAATCAAACACAAGCTTTGTGCAGGCTTGGCTAGCACTCCTCCAGCATCTTCAGCCCTTGGTTTGTTCGTTTTAAGACCTTGCCATATATAGTCAAGGGTAGCCTCAAACTCATGTCAATCTGCTTCAGCTTTGAGAACACCAGGATTACAAATGTGTCTCCAAGAGGTCCCTAATACCTAGAGCCCTAAGGTTTAGAGCACCTGAATTATGGCCCTGGACCACAAGCCTGATGCTCATCCTCCCAGAATCATCACCAGGCAGCTCCAGAGCTGAAGAGGGTGCCAGAACCACCTAAGCTCAGCTAGACCCAGAGAGTGAGTGACTTTCCCATAGTGACACACCTAGTAGCCAAAGAAGGAGACATGGGGATGGGTCTTCAAGGTACCAGGACTCAACCCCTCCTTAGGCTGAGTGAGTAGCTAAGGAAGCAGTGGGAATACTTACCTTTTCCACGTGGGCCTGACCCTTGTGGGACTTATGGGACCAAGAGCTGCTGCTAAGTAGATTTACATTTGGAACAATGAGAAACCAGGGAAAGAAGAGTCCAGAAATCAGGGAGGAGGAACCAGAGAATCTCCATGGGCTCACTGAATTGGAAGGTAGGATCACCTCCTTTTCTTGCTTGAGTTCTCTTCCCACAAGGTAGCTTCAAATCAGGTACTTACTTATACACCCCTGGTGACAGGGAACCCACTACTTTCCAGGCAGTCTTGATTATTTTGTATACATGCAAAGTTAGCCTCTGGATTTCTATGCTTCCAGGGGGCATAGGATCAGGGTTAATTATGCAAACAGATTAAACTTTCTGAGAGCAAACAGTCCAGGCCTCTCTATGTACTCCCATCATCCCAGTGAGTGCTGTCTAACCCATCTCAAAACAAACTAACCCTCTAGGTACAGGGCAGCAAGTCTGAGCTGAGATAATCTATAATCTCCTCTGTCCTGGAGGCACCCTTGGTCTCTTGCATCTGAACTCACTCTTCAGGGTTTTGGGGGTTTTTTGTTTGTTTGTTTTTGTTTTTTTTTTTTTTTCACTCTGGCCCCCACCCCTCACCACCAGCTGGTTCTGTCATTCAGGCTGCCCTGTGCCTGAATGCCCCCTTAGCCCCACTGCTGCAAGAGCAGGTATCTTCAGGCCTGGCCACGCTCCATCAGCTGTGTGGCAAGCACTCCCTGGGCTGCCACCGCCACTGCAGCAGGAGTCTTGGTCTTCCCCCACACTGCATCTCAGCCACAGGTTTCTCCTACAGTGGCCTCTGGCCCAGACATGCAATTATCATGGCTGGAGACACCCCTCTGTGCCCACCCTCCCTGCTGGCACAGGCAAATATCGTCACTGCAGCTGATAACTCCTGCACAGCTCTGCCAGGGTGGTCAGCGTCAGAGATCTGGTGAGACATCTGGGAATTCTTAAAGAGGAAATTAGGTTTAAAAGGGGGAGGGGGATCTTTCCCAAGTTAGGTATCAGAAATATCACAATGCAGGGAGTTAGGACCCTGTTTAGTGCTACTATGAATGGCTTGCAAATGGAAAACAATAAATGAGGGCATAAACCACTTAGCTAGGATCAATATAACACCGTTGTTAATTATTGTCAGTTTGGTAATTCATATTTTATCCTTAAAAATGGTTTTATAACTGTGCCAAATATGAAAACTTGACTGATAAGATGCAAGCCTTAGAAAGACCTACTAATCAAAATAAGAAATATATTCGGACACAGACAGAGGAATTTAGAGCAGAACCTACCACACCATTGCATCATGAAACTGAAGAGGAGCAGCCCAAGGTTATTAGGAAACCAACTCTAGTTTATCCAGTTGCCATACAAGAACAACTGACAGATGACAGGCAGAAGGCTATGCAGAAGTTAACTGGAATCTGCAGCAGTTTTAGATTAGAAAAGATTTAATGAAGCAGTCGTTTCATATGGTATGCATTCATCCTATGTGAAGCAGATGTTAAATTCATGGGCAACTCAAACAGAATTATTCTCCAAGACTAGAAAGATTTAGCTGCAGCAATATTGGAAGCTGGGCCTCAGTTATTATGAAAAGTATTATGCAAAGAGGAAGCTAGGGTCACAGAGCAATGAGGTAGGGAAATTTCCCAAGATCAGCTTGGTGAAGGTCAGTATGCTGTTTTGCAAAGAAAGTTTAGTTTTGATGACCACACCGTAATGCTCCATTGTATAGCAGCTTTGAATGCTTGGGACAGGATTGAAGAATCAGGAAAGAGGACTGAGTCATTTACTAAAATTATACAAGGTCTAAAAGAAGCCTTAAGTGATTTTTTAAACAAAGATTGACTTCAACTGTAAATAAAATGATATCAGATGCAGAAATCAGACCAATATTAATTGAATCTTTGGTTTTGAACATGTTAATTCAGATTGCAAAGGGTTGATTAGGCCTTTAAAGGCAAGATCAGCACCCATAGATGAATGGATTGGAAATATAGCTGATATCAGATCTTATGTTTACTGATGCTGCTTTAAAAGGAGAAACAATTTCTAGAAATTTTAAGAAAAATCAAAATGTCAGATGTTTTAAATGTGGTAAACAAGGTCATTTGAAAAAGGATTGTAGGAAAGATATTCCTAGAAACAATGTCTTTTTTTTTTTCTAGAGATAATTCAAACAGAAGACCCTGGCTTTCTGAAGTATGCAGAAGGTATGGTAAAGACTGGCATTAGAATAATGGATGGAGGGACTGGAGAGATGGCTCAGCAGTTAAGAGTACTTACTGTTCTTCCAGAGGACCCAGGTTCAATTCCCAGCACCCATAGGGTAGCTTGCAATTGTCTGTAACTCTAGTTCTAGGGGATATGATACCTTCACCCCAATGTACATAAAATAGAGGTTAAATAAATTATTTTTTAAAAGAATAATGGAAGGAGATCCACAAGTTACAAGCAAGATCATTCTTTGCCATCGGGAAATGCCCTGGGTGGCCTCCTGCATGTCAAATTGACCCAATCATTCTCTGTCAGCACTGGAGAAATTAACCCACAGAGCAATTAAAAGTCTTACTATCTGTTGTTTAAAAATCCACACTGCTCTGGGGCTGGAGAGATGGTTCAGAGGTTAAGAGCACCGACTGCTCTTCCACAGGTCCTGAGTTCAATTCCCAGCAACCACATGGTGGCTCACAACCCTCCCTTATTAGATCTGGTGCCCTCTTCTGGTGTGCAGATAGACATGGAAACAGAATGTTATATACATAATAAATAAGTAAAATCTTAAAAAAAAACAACACACTGCTCTGAATGTGACCAAAGAGATAACAGCTTCTGTAGATACAACAGAAAGTTAGGAGAGATCAGAAAACAAGTATTTTGGCAAACTGCTATAAATGATCACAGACCAAAGCTGAAAATACATATAAATCACATTGAAATTGAGGGTTTGGTAGACACAGAGAAAGATGTAACAATAATTTCACCAAAATCTTGGCATCTGGATTGGCCTCTTCAGAAGGTAAATGTTTAGCTTCTTGGAATTAGAATTTTATCCTAGGTAAAACTAAGTGCAAAATGGCTAGAGTATACAGGACCAGATAGGAAAATTAAAACCATATATGGCTAACATAGCAATGAATTTGTGGGGACATGGTTTGTTACAGCAATGAAAATCACAGATTAACTTTCCTCCAATCTCAGAAACAAACCATAAAATAAAGAATGCTTCTAAAGGAACTATTAAAAGGCATTATCAAGAACAGTCATACTCCCTCTCCCTTGGCTTTTCAAGACATGATTTCTCTTTATCTTTGGTGCCTGTCCTGGAACTCGCTCTGTAGATGAGGCTGGCCTTGAATTCACAGAGATCTGCCTGCCTCTACCTCCCAGAGTTCTGGGATTAAAGGTATGTGCCACCACCGCCCGGCCTCCACCATCCTCTCATGTCCTGGCTGTAAATTGGGCCTCCTTACAGTCCTGCAAGCAGGTATATCTTGTCCACAGAAACAGTGGCTTCCCCAAAAATGGGGCCTGGAAGGTCTAGCTGTACCAAATACCCGACTGATCAGGGCTCTGTGTGCCCTAGGGTGTAGGGCAGGAAGAGTGGGTGGATAACCAAGCCATTGTTAGTGGATCAGGTTCTGGGAGTTTCATTCACTACGGATGCAGTCAAAACGCGAATGCTGCTTCTGTACGCTGGGATCAACTGACAGAGGGGCGGAGACCAACAGGCAAGTGCCAGAACTTTCCAATCCCCGGTGCTCTGCACTACCACGGCAGGAGCTCCTGCCTAGCTCCTCCACCAGGCATGGAAAGACATAGCAGCAAACGTCCTGACCAGGAGACGTTTTGGCATCATGGCCATACACCTTTTCGGCACCCATTGTTCCCCCTCTGGTGCCTAGACCCTCTCAGGCCTGGCTATCCACACCCTCGCCCGGGATCCCCCGGGCACCCACGTCCCCACTCCCGTGACTCCCCCGGAAAGTCGTGGTGGGGCGGGAGACCAGACTTCCGCGGTTAACAACTACTCCCTCCACCGCACGGATCCCGAGACGAGGGCCTTACCCAGAACTTGGAACCCAGCTCCCCGGAGCCACACAGGCGGTCCATGTGGCTCAGGTGTACGGCGGGACTGAGACCTCGGTTCAGCGCAGCCCCAGCAGAACTGCCCGGAGCCGGAGCCGTCGCCTCCGACTCTCAGCTCGATCGATCGGCACTCCTCCCGGCCCCGCCCTTGGGTCCTCTGGTCAAGTTCTCCCAGTCTGTCTCAGCGATTGCAACACGGGTCTCCGCCTCAGTAAAACTGTTGTTACCTAAAACTGCAACGCTGGAAGGGACTATAGATAGAGTGAGGAAGGGTAGTTGACAGTACTAGTCCCTTCCAGTGGCCCCTGATCTAGACCCCAAAGCTGATAGGCCTGGGAATGAGTCTTCATCGGTTTTCTAATGGGATCTGAAACGCATGTATTTTCAACCCAGTCAGAAAGACTTGGAGAGGCATTTAGCAATCTTCTCACTGTAAACGAAGTCCAGTCGCTTCCGACTTTGTAAGTACAGGATCATCTCAAGTTTCATTATCTAATATGTGAAGTGCTTGTGAGCCCAGTCTCCTCTTCCCCACAAGCTGTCAGCGACAGCAGACACCAGCACCTATGTGTGATGCACAAGTGCATACATGTAGCAGGAGAGTGAGGCATGAAGTTGGTCCCAGTACCAAATAGCTGCGTGTGTGGCTTCCTTGTGATCTTCTTAAGTTGCTGCCTTCTGAAGCTCTTTGGTTCCCTAGTCTTGCCCAGGACACTTCTGCACCCCACTTTTGCACTGGTAAAGAATGGATAATAAAATCCTCCTCATTGGCATTTCTGAGGACCCAACAGAAAATTATATAAAGCATAAGTATTGCAGGTAACATATGCTAATTCTATTTCAGTCTGGCCAGGGAAGAGATGGGCAGTGAGACCCCAGGAAGAGCCCCTTACTGGCACCCTTGTCTTAACGCAGAGCCTTCTCGTTGTCAGCCTTTAAAATGGCCTTCCCAGGTTGGCTGTGCTGAGATGCCCTCCATCTCTCTCTTCCTTAATAGGATCCCAATTTACCACCTCTCCCTGGAGGTGAACAGAAATCTTGGTCTAATTTACCGTCTCTACCTGCAAGCTCCTGCAGTTGGTGTGTGTGTGTGTGTGTGTGTGTGTGTGTGTGTGTGTGTGTGCTCCCTTGGCTTTTGTTTCCCAGACAGGACAGGATATTTCTAGCCTCCTGGGGTTTAGTGTAGGTGTTGAAGGGATCCAATAGGACTGTGCCAAAGTGATCATCTCCTACCTCTCTGGGCAGGCAGGAAGTCCTGCAAGTCAGACTAGAGATGAATCAGTAGAGTGGGCAGCGGGGAATGAGGTGGGCTCCCCTTCCCAGGTGGCTGTCCTGGGGACCTGTGCAGATTCTCTCAGTCCTCTAGCCTTTTCTCCTCTTCTTTCGCACCCTGGCTTCCCCTCAACCTTCTCTCTGCACAGAAGACTTTAGGAACGTTCATATCTTGCCAGTGTGCTTTTGGTTGCATTTATTTGTGAAGAGTCTATCTCCCTTGCCAGCCTGAAAGGTCCTCAAGGCAGCAGCCAACCGAGTCACTTCTACTTTCCCTCCATGCCTCAGGTAGTAACTTTGGTGCACTATGTAACCTTAATAGTTACAGGCAAAGTGAGCAAAGTGCCATGGAAGCTCTCTTCCTACCCTGTGGCCCAGGCCCCTAGGCCCAGGGCATTTGGGAATCAGCCTCAAAGCCTTCCGTTAACTTTGAACATGACTTTCCCAGCCTGGCATTTTACTACTGGCTCTCTCTTAGAGTTTGGCCTTCTGATACCCTTTAGGAGGTGAGCTTCTCCAGGTGACCCTTCTGGTTCCTTGGGACCTTCCAGTTCAAGGTCAGCATGGAGTTCACTGGTTAGTGTTCAGATATGAGGACAGGAGTCTGGCTTCAGTACTGGAGCAAAAGACCATCCTCTGTGACATTAGCCTTTCCATCCTCCCTTTCCTTCCCAGGTCTCCCCATACAGGTGGGAGGCTTCAAAGACAACGTGCAGTCCCTGGCGATCCTTGCCTTCCCCCACCACTGGAAATGATCCGAGTTCACCCCTCCTGGTCTCTTATGGAATGTGGCCTCTTTCACACAGTCCTTGAAGAACAAACATAGTGTTTGTGTGACATCATTGTTTTGGTTAATTGGCTCACCAGAGCAATAGATCTCAGACTTTGGAACATCCCACAGTTTGCCCAGGGCCTCAGAGCTTCATCTGGCACAGGTATCTTCTCCTGTATGCAGCTTCCACACATGGCTACTCCAGGCAACTCCCTGGATGGGATGCATTTCCTGGCCCTCGGCTATTGTACTCCTGTCCCCTGTCCCTAGCCCACATTCCAAGCAGCTCTGCAAGACTCCCTAACTTCCCCTGCTCCCTGTACCCACCAAATTCTGTTTATCCTTCAAGATATCTGTCGATACTGGACATGGTATAGCAAACCTGTAAATTTGGAAGATGGGGATAAAAGATCACACGTTCAAGGCCTGCCTCAGCTATGTGGTGAGTGTGAAACTAGTCTATGCTATATGAGAACCTGCCTACTTCAATAACGAAGTCCCCTACATCACAGCCACTGCCTCCCAGAGGACTATGAACATTGGGTATTGAAACTGAATCCTGTCCATCGTTGTATTACTCAGCACCCAGGGCACAAGTGCTTGTCTGAGTCCTCAGGGAGTGTTTGTCATCTGATTGAACAGTTAGTCACATGAAAGAAGGAAGACTTACTCTTGGTGCATTCCTCAGTTCTAGAATTTCTTTGGAAAAGCCAGTGAAGACAGGAACAGTATTTCAAGGAGGAGGCAAGTGAGCAAGACCACAACTGGAGTGAAATCCAGTAGAATTTGTCAGGTTGTTGTTGTCTTTTGGTGCCAGCTCACATGATCTGACTTTATCAGTCATGCTGGGGTTCAGAGAGGTCCTGTAGGAGAATGCATGGATACAGAGCCTGGGAACTGATTAATGGGGGAGGGGAGAGGGACATCCAGCTAGCGGCTGGGTTCTTGAGGGAGTTTATATGAAATCATTAGTTTTTGTAAAATTGCTTGTTTCTTATGATGTTTTCCTGCAGTTATAGGGAAGGAAATTGAGAAGAATGGCTTAAAATTTTTTTAAGTTTAAGTTACTTTGACTTGTTGCTCTTGAGCAAGAGCAGCCAATCCCTTATCCCTGCCTTTTTGTTTATGTATTTGATTTTTTTAAGTAATAAATGGGCTTGCTCAATTATGGCTTGTCACTGGGGATTATAAGGAATGCCATGAGATACATGAATTTCCAAAAATTGTTAAAAAGATGGAAAAGTGAGTGTGTGTGGGGAAATAGAAAAGTTTTACATATATATGGAGAACCACTGTTTGTTTCAATTTGTTTTGAGACTCCCGTTACAGAGAGAGCAGTTGATACGTGTCTGCAAACAGCTCAAGCAGACTTATGTGTTTGAGAGGTAGCAAAGACAAAGCCTGAAAAAGTATCAATGCAAACATGAAGGATTTTTAAGTGACCAAAGAAACTTATCTGAATTACACCCAGTTGCCAAAGATGATTAGGACAAAGATCTCAGGGATTGACTTCTCTTGGGCTAGTGATGGAGGGACCCAACAAGTAACAGTCGTGGCAGGACCAGAGAGTTTGCTGAGTTTGTATCTGTGATACTGAAATTGTTTCTGCGAATCTCTGGCTACTGGATGAGAGAGGGAATGGGGGAAGTGACTTGTAGAAAGAGACATGACAAAGTGGTCAGCATCGTGATTTTCTTTCATAGGGGCCATCCTGTATATGAGCATTGAGTATGTTGAATAAAAACAGGATGAATTCATCTGTGAAGGAGGCTTTGGATAGAGCTAAATGCTGATATCAGGAAGTTTGAGGTGTGAGCCAAGATGGCTTTGTGATGGCTAAAGAAGCTCCATTTTATGCTAGGTATCCATCTTGGTACCTACTAGCCATCTGTCACCCAAGTCCCTGGAAGATAAGTTCCCAGTAACCCTGAATCAGTGGCCCTGACCCAGAAATATACAGCCATGACCTTCTACTTGTTACAATATGACTAACTGCTTTTTTGGCTTTTGTAATTTGCTTATGCAGACACCCAAAGATTATTGTGGGTGGTCTTGATCACTTAACTTGGCAGAGCAGACCAGATTTTGCTTTCTTGTGTAGCTACTTAAGGTCTTCTTGTGTTTTTTGCCTTTAATCCCAGCACTCGGGAGGCAGAGGCAAGTGGATCTCTGAGTTTGAGGCCAGCCTGGTCTACAGAATGAGTTCCAGGACAACCAGGACTACACAGAGAAACCCTGTCTCAAAACAAACAAACAGACCAACAACTACACAAAATAAATAAAATAAAATAAAGTAAAAAATCCCTTCCCCATACTCTTTCTTCATGACAGCCTGAGATTCTGCTAGCAGCTAATCAATAAATCCTTTAATTATAACTGAGTTAAGTCCATGATATTTTCCCAGGGCTCACAAACTCTGTAATAGCTTGAAATAAAAGTGGGATGCCTTGAGCCACATAGTGAGAATCAGTTTGTAAATTGAAAGGCTGAGCAAGGATTTGTTTGAAGGCAGAAGCGTAGTGAAAGTTCTGCCCACTGGTTGGGGCCTGTTTGGGGGGCGGTAACAAAAGAGTGCCATATTCCAGCATCATCACACCATGGGATGGCCAGGCCCATAAGGGAAGTAATGAAATTCCACAGAATCTTTATAGGTGGAAGATGAAGGGAGAGTTGCCCCCCCAACACAAACACACACACAAAAAACAGTAAGAGAGTTATTTGCCATTCTTCTGAGGTCTTCGAGAGAAAGTTGAGATTGTCTTGAGATACAGAAGGGTAAAGATCATCAGGGTTTGTCCAGTGAGTTAGGCAGTTCTGCTTCTGCCTTGAGTAAGAGTGATTGTTAAGTAAACACTTTTTGAGTAGAAAGGATTTTTGCTTGGGTATCATGGGAAGAAACAACTGTTTTCAAATGCTGATAGGGGAAGTTAATTGTCCAGTGGCTACCCTAAAGTCTAAGGGTCTGTGAAAAAGTTGCCTTTGTGATTTGAACTGTGATTGCTGCAATGCAAGGAGTTGGAGTATGAGGGGAGGAGATTAAGTCAGGGTTTCCTTTAAGAGAATCAGAAAGGTGAGGAAGCCGCAGAGGGAATCCCCAAGTAGACAGGCACCCACTGATACTGCTTGAGAGCTGTTGAAGAGAATTTAACATTGTCTTTCTTAGAATAGACAATTGTAATCAGTAAAATTTAATAGAAGAATGAGGAACAGTATGTCCACAAATAGCTCTGTGGAATATTTGATCCAGTAGGGTATATTGCCTTGTTAACCCACCTTTGGCAGAATGTGGGGCTATTGCTCACGCTTGGTGAAGAATATTCCAATGAAAGCAAGACGTAGATGCTTGATTATAAAGAGTAGGTCCTGAAAGGGCAAATCTTTAGCATCAGGGTGTAAAGGAACAGTAAAAAAAAAATCTTAAAATCAATAATAATAATAATAATTATAATAATAGTAGTAACTCGGATCTGGGTGGCTCACACCTTTAATCCCAGTACTTGAGAGGCAGAGGCAGG